CTCATATCATTGTGGGAAAATTCTACTACCAGTCCTTCATCACCTTACACGAAATAGGGGGAATACATCTAATTACACTGATTTACTGGTAGTCTCGAAACCCTACTTTCATACGAATTTAAATACTTGAACCAGGGAGATAGTAGACGGATCCTACGGTGCAAGAGGGAGACTGATCAGACCCGTGGAGGGACTGCGGGACAATATGGCAGATTCCGATCAACATTTCCAGCACAATGGTGATGGGGGGTTGGGCGTGAGGGGGTAATAAAGCCAGCGTGGGGTGTAGAGAGTTCTCGTGAAATCCACTTAAAATGGCATACCCTATCACATTTAAATAAGCAAAGGAAATATATTGTGGTTGTGAAGAAGTGATATGAGGATATAGGATTGTTGATTAGCCCAGAGGGCAAAAAAGATATCACGAATATTTTGCATACAATTGGTCACTGTATCCGCTTAACTTGTCTCTGATGAATTGTAGTGTAGTGCTAAGAATGGAAAAGCTCACTGACGATCCCGACCACTATGCCGGCAAAACTTCTGGAAATGTACTACATCCACGGTTCGAATCTGGAAATTATCAAACATACTATGGACTCCGAACTAAGTGCGTTTCTCTAGGTCTTCCTACCGATTTGACCAAGTTGCGAAAACAACTTCAATACTTTTTATTATTCGTTTTATTTGTTCCTTATGCTTATATGATCCACCAAATTCTCAATTCAATGCTTGGGTTTAAGAATTTGAGCAACTACATCAACTAAGCTGAACTCTGGTCACTTTCTAGTCTCTTTAGTGGCCATAATAGGATTTTCACTTGGGCATCATTTTAAAGCCTCTTAATTTCCTATTTGCGTTCCTTTAATGCTATTATATCTATCAAAATGACTTTATTTCACATTCCTTTTCATTCATGCAGCTTATTCTGCACTCAGGTCTTTTAGTGCGCAATCTTCTTCCTCTCGACCTTACTACTCGTGTGTGGATTATGACGCCAGATTTGGCTGACTCTTCTCTTTCTCAGGCACCAGACTCTCCTTGTGTCATTCCGTCTGATCCTTCCTGTGTCAAAATGGAATCCCTATCATTGCTTGATTCCAATTCCTCATTTCTATCTCATTCTAATTCTTATACTTCCACGTCTCCTGCTAGAATTAATTTTGTTTCATCTCATTTGTCAAAGCGGCTGTTTATCTGCCCGCCTACTCGTCTTCAAATTGCACCAAGTTGCACTCCAATTGGCTTAAGATTGGCTCATCCAGAAGCAACTTTTGAAAACTCGGTGCTTTCACCACCATGGCCACAACCATCACATTCAGCACCACCAACTGAATTATCTATACATCCTGCAAATACACAAATTCCTCAGCAAATGGACCACTTAACTGACGAAATTCTCAGTGTAATGTTTCGTGTGGTTGCTCCCTTGAAGTCATCAGAACTGGTGG